GGGTTGAAAGTGGGCAAGTTCTTCCACAACGTGGACAAGGCAAGGGCGTTGTTCCACGTGTACAGTCCAAAGTCGCAGTTGAAGTGGCCGGGGGTGACCCGTTTTGCAACCAACCACGAGATGCTCGAATCCTTAAAGAAGGCCAGGAACCCGCTGAAGAATTGCATTGACGACGCTGCGTGGGTGGAGAAGATGGTCAGAACGGACCAGCTCGCTGCGTTCTACGAGGTGACGGCCATTGTGTTGGGGAGGGATGACTTATGGGCGACGGTCGACAAGGCGCTCGCAGTGATAGGGCCAGTAGACGCTGCTTCGTCTTGTTGATGCGCCAGGGCCGTCCACGTCGAAGGTGTATTTCAAGATGGACTCTCTCGTCGCACGGATGCGCGAGCTTGATTGCATCACGGCGGGGGAGAAGGCCGAAATAGAGGATATCTTGATGCGGAGATGGGCATTCATGACCAGCGAGTTGCATTGCGCTGCTGTGTTCCTCGACCCGGAGCACCGTCACACGAATGCCTTGCGAGATCCTGAGGTGCGCGCCGGATTCAACATTTGGCTTCTCTCGTGGGCGCCGAACGACCAGCAGACACGCGACGAGCTCAGCCACCAGGGTGACATGTGGGTTAACCTAGAAGGGTCGTTCAAATTGCAAGATGCTGCGGAAGCGGCACGTGTGCAGCCAGCGGCTCTGTGGTGGGAGGCTTACTGCGGGAAGTTGGAGCTGCTCCAACCACAAGCAGTTAAGTTGCTTGGCCAGGCAAGCTCCTCCGCCGCATGCGAGCGGAATTGGAGCTTGCACGAGCTTATTTTCGGGCGCAGGCGTACGAAGTTGCTGTCGGAGAGGCTGGGCAAGTTGGTGTACAGCAACTGGAACATCCAACTGTCGCGGGCGGCCTTGCGGGGAGACGGGGGGCATGTGCACATTCCGTGGGAGGACGACACGCCGATGGAGGCAGAGATCGGGGAATGGTACAACGCATGGATAGCAACGGCCATTGATCCTGCTGCTGTTGCCGCTGATGCTGATGTGGTGACAGAAGATGTGGAGGTGGGTGAAGAAGACGGTTCGGAGCCATTGATGCGGACGTGGCAGCGAAATGATGTCGCAGATGACGAGGAATGCGACGAGGAGGACATGGCTCTCTTGGGTTCGTTGGAGAGGGAATGGCACGAGTCGTTGGAGAGGGAATGGCACCAGTGCACCAAACCCGGGCGTCGCAGAAAGCAAGACCTGCGGAGAAGATCGGGCAGCTCGCTGCCTCCGCCATCAGTTGTGTACACTGAGGCGGATCGCGCGGCTGCACTCAAGGCACGGCTGGCAGACACTTGGGTGGAAGGTCGATGGGAGTCAACCAGCAGGCAAAAGCGTGTGAGGAAAAGAGCACGAGTGGCGGGCGAGGCAGGAGGGGCTGAAGCGGAAGTGGGCGTGACCCACCCAAAGAAGAAGAGGGGTCGACCATCGTTGGCTGAAGCTGCTGCAAAGAAGGCTGAGCTGGCAGCAGCCAGGGCTGCTAAAGCAGAAGAAGAAGCGGCCGCAGCGAAAGCCGCGGTCGACAAGGCCCGAAAAAAAAAAAAAAGGTAGCCTCCGTCGATGTGATCGAGGACGACCCGTCAGGGGACGATGAGTCCTCGTCCAGTTCGTCCGAAGACACGGATGAGGGAGAAAGCGGAGAGGAGTCCGCTGAACAATCTTTGCAGGAGGGGGGAGCGGAGGGGGAGGACATGGAGGGAACCGAGGCCGGGTCCGAAAAAAGCAATGGTGAAGAATCGGAAGATGAAGGGGCGAAGGTGTAGGACAAGGGCAGACCGGACGCACAGTGTAATAGTTTTGGATTCTGCCCATTGTCGGAACTTTCTTTGCTGAACTTCGTTTCTAAGTTCTTGTGAAGTTATTTTCTTGTACTTGGTTTAATAAATTTGCAAATGACTATTGGCCCCATTCTGAAATTGGTCTGACAGTTTGTTCCCAGCACATTGTCCAACAATGTTTTTTTTAAACTGCTGTCAGTTTGTAAAGGTCGTGCCTTGCCGCTCGTCCAATGCTTACAGTGGTCTGGTGCTGCTATTCCCATCATTGTCTGTTGAATGTTGTGCATGTTATGCCATGCTGCTGTCTGATCCGTCGCTGTTAACGGATGACACCTGCACGTATGTTCTCTCCGACACACTCTGTTTTCAAATTTTGTTGTGCAACTTGTGCTGCAACGCTGCCTGAGTGTGTGCATCAACCTGTCAAAATGTGACTGTTGATATGCTGTTCGTCCGAGTTCTCCAAGTCAAAATGTGAGTGCCTAGAATCCACTACTAGACTGGACTCGAGTGGCCGCCTAACTGAAGCGGATCACTCAAGTGCCCAGTCGGCCAGTCCGGTAGCACTGAAGTTGAGGGGAGGCCGAGCTGAAGAAGACAGCAGTTATTGCCTTTAGGGGTAGCGGTAGGAGTCCAGTCTAGTAGTGGAGTCTACGCCCTGTCTAGTCGGATATCAGCTCTGCAACGCTGTCTGAATGTGTGCATCAAGCTGGGTCGCTGTCTGAATGTGTGCAACACGTGGGAGGACGACACGAGTTACAGAGGTCTGTGTAGTTGTCCAAACCCACGTACAGACCCCACATCACAGTTGTGCGGACACAGAATGCCCCTACCTCGCCCCCCCCCAAAAAAAAAGAAAAAAAAAAAACAGGCCGGCGCATCTCGCGCACCTCCCCCAGGCTGCCCCGCACATGCGCGCGTGGCGCAGCACAGAGCAGCGCATGCGCACGTGCGCAGAACGTTCTGGTCCGCGCAGCGCACGTCCGCATGCGCAGCACATCGCGCACGGCTGCACTGTGCCGCAAGTATGCTGAATACATGCTAAAGACCAAAGATTCCATGCTGGCAGTAAATTGAAGGCAGACAAGACTGATAGGGAATGAAACAGACCAGATAATCAGGATCCACGGATGGGCCCAGCTCAGTTGGTACACCTATGAGCTGTTGAAATATAGACCTGAGCTCAAATACTCTCGGAACCAAATGAATGAAATTCTGAATTACCAAGGGCCCCGAGTTCAGATTACCAGGATCCCCGAAGATCGGGAGCCTTCAATGGCTCATAACCTATGTGCCCTCCCAGTCAATCATTGGCTTCACAATCGTAGGAGGAAGAAAGACCCGAAGAGCTCGGACCGATGTGTAGCCCCTAACCCCCAGATAAGTATGGCAGGGGCAAGGGCCAGTGGACTTTGGGAAGTTTGGGGTAAATTTAGATTGGCATCTTCCCTACAGCTGGGGGTTAGTTCATATGGCCCGTGGACCATTTTGGTTGGCCCTGCTTGGTAGATATAGCCCTGGCTAGGTAGATGTAGCCCTGGCTAGGTAGATGTGGGTAGGTAGTGGAGGTACTCAAGAGAAGAATATAGCTTAGATTTCAAAAAAATATTGAAATATTATTTCAATTTTCAAATATATAAAAAAAGGAAAGGTTGGCAAAACTCAGAAGCATCAACAATGAGACAAGACAGCCTTCAGCATGAAGTCCAGCACCCCATATGGACGTGTGAGGCGATGGTTAATCCTTAACCTCATTCTTGGGTTCGAAGCTGAGTCTGATGTACTTCGGAAAGGGACTGAGAGGGATAAGGAAAAGGAATGCAAACTGGATGTCAATCCTCCAGAAATTGAGTAACCAATGCTGTTCAGGGCTCCTTCGGCCGAACGCAAGAAAGCAGTGTTGGGTCATACATATCACATATTTGAGTTCATACTTGCCGGTGGAAACTTAAACGGACTGACGCTCCTCGGAATGGACATGGACCATAACGAGCTGTTTTTTTCCAAAGAAAAAAAAAAAGGGCATTATGGACACCAAGGTGAAGTGTCAACTTCGAGAGTGCAGACCTAGAGCCTACCGACAGAAACCCTGAGGAAGGAGAGAAAGCAAGCAATGGAAAGTTGCAAACAGAGATCGGAGCCCAATGGAGAAAAGCTTTTTATTTTTTTTTTTCTTTTATCTCATCGTAATTTGTAACTGGTATCTGGATTCGAACGTGGGTCTGTACCAAGTGAAAGCTAAAGCCAAGATAAAACTCTCCCCGGACGACAGAGAACTTGTCCGAAAAGATTTCAACACGGAGAAGTATGTGCAGCTCTGATAGGGGATCAAAAGAGAGACCATATCAGCTTCGGAGACTGAATGGCCTTTCCAACTGCCGTCTTCCCCCAAACAGAATGTGCGGTCATGATAGCTGTATTCTGGGCAACTTTCAGTCCAGCTACAGCCATGATGGCTGTGCGTTCTATTCTGTGGAAGGCCGTAGAGGGCAACCTGAAAGTTGGCATCAGATCATAGAAGTTCCATCAGCAGAGGTTGTAGAAACTGCAGAAGGTGAAGGTGCATAGAGATTAGTTCAGGAACTTCAGACTCTGCAGAGACAGCCTCAACCCACAGCCAAGGCATTCGGCTCACCCTATAGCTCAATCACTCTAGATCTTAACTGAGATTTCAGACAACCAAGTAAGGACAGCCTCAACCCACAGCCAAGGCATTCGGCTCACCCTATAGCTCAATCACATTGCTCTAGATCTTAACTGAGATTTCAGACAACCAAGTATGGTTCAGACTCTTCAGAGTATCATCACAGAGTGTCTCGCCGGAAGCAACTCAGAGGCAGCAATCAGAGAATGTACAGAGGTGGAGAAAGGGTAAATCCTTGGGCTCAAGGAAGCAATCAATGTTGCTGTCTCAGGGTCTCTCAGCCATAACGGAGAGATGCGTAGAGTATCTGTTATCTAAGGGAGCCGTTCAGCTGTGCTCAGTGTTTTTCTCAAATGATGAAATGTGACTTTCTGGAGAAAAAGTGCATCAGTTGGCTACATCAGTTAGACTTCAGCTTAACCTGGACCCAACTGATTCAGAGAAATCCAATACAAGGTCAATGACATGTCACAGATTCATGAGACGGAGACCTGCCCCAATGCAGGGAAGAAAGAAGATGTTTTCTGTGGCAGCAAGATCTTACATGATCAATGTGTCTTCCACTGTCCCACAGATCGGTCCAGTTACACAAACAGAAGGAACCAAATGGAAAGACCTGCAAAGTAAACACCATCAACAACATCATCAAACAGTCAGTTGGTCAGTCTGTCTGTCTGTCTGCCTGTGTGTGTGTGTGTGTGTGTGTGTGTGTGTGTGTGTGTGTGTGTGTGTGTGTGTGTGTGACACGTACACATATTTTGCAAGTCATTTTCCATGTACGTAATTCTATGAGTGCTGTGACATGCATGGGCCTCCCACATGGGCCCTCTGGGGCCAGGACATGATTTCGCGCTTATCGCCACGCACCTTGTTTTTGCGCGGCCATGGGGTGCTAACACATTCATTCAGGTAGCATGAGATATTTTTGTCTGGTCTCAGTGCTCTGCTTACTTCTATTTTCCATTTTGTGTTCTCTGAGTTTCTCAGCTTCTTTGAATTTTCGCCTTCTTCTGATCTGTTCAGCTATGTCTGCTCTGGGAAGTACCATTTAGGATTTCTGCACGATGCTGAACCAGTGCACACATTCTTGCCATTGCAGGCCACTAGAGACTTCATTCGCATTAGGGCCGTTTTTTTATTTATCCTTGCAGTGCCTGCCCCAGCCCTTCTCTCGTCTACGCAGGCCAAGGTGCAGCTGCTAATTGTTACATGCTGTACAGGCCCCAACCTGTTTCCCTACAGGGAAACTTCCAGGCTCTTGCCTGGAAGCTTCCTTCTGACAGGGCCTACAGGCCCCAGCCTGTTTCTCTACAGGGAAACTTCCAGGCTCTTGCCTGGAAGCTTCCTTCTGACAGGGCCTACAGGCCCCAGCCTGTTTCCCTACAGGGAAACTTCCAGGCTCTTGCCTGGAAGCTTCCGCAGGGTCTAGGCCAGGGAGGCATTGGCAAGAGCGGCCTCCTACGCATAGGGCATTGGCACGGCCAGCCTCCGGCACGGGCCAGCAATATAAAGGACTGGCCCGCCCTGCAGGAAAGAAGGCAGTTCGGCAGTTGTAGTCTTCAGGATTCGGGAGCAGCACTCTGGAGGGAGCGCTGCGTTAGAGTAG